ATAGCAAAAATAAATCTCAATGGACTAAAGTTTTTACTTCTCAGAAGTCTAGAGGGGCCTATCCTCCCTCTAACCCCCCTTTATCTCCATTGGTGGTAAAGGGGACGGGCGGCTACGTTTTGTTGGATTGTTAGTTACATCTCCTCGCAAACACATCTTAGTGCATCTCCACGTCAAAGTGCATTTAAGAAACAACGAATGTTGCACGCACAACACCGCGTTATGCATTATATAATATAAGTACAATATATATTAGTTTGAGTGGAAATCATTTAATTTTTTTAATAATATTTTAAATTTAAATTTTATTAATAAAATAACAAATATTAAAAAAGTTTTTTTTTATGAAATTTAACACAATTTGATTTTAAATTAATCAAAATTTAATATGATTATTAATTAAAAAAATAAATATAATATTAAATCAGTTAATATATATAATTTTATAAATAAATAAATTAGTTACATATATTAAATCAACTGTCACATGTTCAAAAAAAAAAAAAAATCAACTGTCACATTAAGATGTGTACAATATTATGTATCGAACCGAACATTATGTGCATATCTTTTTCTTTTAGGAATCTTAGAAACATTTGTCTTTGTATCTTTTCCTTTTTAAAATTTTAGTCACATCCCTTCTCAAAACATTTTAAAAGTGCATATTCACATCAATGTGCATTTAAGAAACAGTGATATTACAAGTATAATGTCATGTCATGTTTTATATTATCAAACATAAAATATATTAAATAAATAGATGAATATAAGATAATAAATAAACTTTTAAATTTAAAAAATAATCAATTATATATATCAAATCATCTTGTGTCGTGTTGTGCAAAACATTATATGGTAAAATATTGTGTGCTTTTAGGAATCTTAATTTTTTAAAGTAAAGTTTTGATTTTTTTTAGTGTCACCCAACATTTAGACATAATTATAGGCAATGCTTTTTTTTATAGCATACAAATAATATTCTCTTTGTTTATTTTTAATAAACTTTTTTGATTTTTTGATATTTCAGATAATTTTTTTTAAAAA